TCCTCCTCCTCCTCCTCCACGTCATCATCCGCCCCTCCTCTCCTATCCCTGATTCGACTGTAGGCCGCTTCGTTCTTGATCGTCTCATAGGCGGGGCTGTTGTCGTCGTCTCCTGCACCAGTGTTTTCTACCGGCGGCGGCTTCACAATCTCATAGGCGGGGTCGCTGCTCTCGCTGTTATCGAGGACGATTGCCTCGTAGCCGTAGCTGTTGTCGTCTGATCCGCCGGCAGCAGCAGGAACAATTGGCGGCTTCTCACTCCTGTCGACGACCACCTCGTAGCCGGGGTCCTTCTCCTCGGGTGAAAAAGGATCCGGGTGGGCTGGAGGCGGCGGTGGTTGCGGTGGCCTCTTTGAGCCGGCCTTCTTCGTCTTCGAGGTAATCTTCTGGTAGAGATGGTCATTTTGGAGGTTAGGAGAGGTTGGTCTCCTTTCTTCATCACCGAGTCCATCATGCGATATGGTGTTGTAGTCGTGCAGGTCGGCGAGGTTGTGGTGGTACTGATGACTCGGGTGATGAGGAGGAGGGTGATGGCTGTGGTGGTGGTGGTGATGTACAGCACTAGATGAGGAAGGCGTATCGAACATGATCGTATTGCGGTACATTGCCTTTGGCTGTGTGGAGTGCGGCAACGGCGGCGGCAGGGGCGGTGGTGGTGAGTACCTTTGCAGTGCGATAGGCTTTGAATCGTTGTTTGAGTTGATTGAGTTTGAGTTGCTTGCCGCTAAAGAAGAGGAGGCGTTCTTCGCCGGCGACTTGACCACCATCGTGTAGAGGTTGTTGGCCTCGGAGGGAAGCGGCGGCACGGGGGACTGCGGAGGAACTCGGTTGGGGTTTGTCCCCAGAGCCGACCTCTTCTTGCTCTTCTTGTCCACAAAGGAGTACACCGGGCCGCCGTTTGCCACCACTCCTGCTGCTGCTGCTGAGGTTGACGCCTTTGAAGTTGCCATTCCCCTAAAACCACCACCAACTCCTCGAGAAGTGGAAGGCACTGGCTCGGCAATCTTCGAGTAGGTGGAACTGCCGCCAGAGACATTAGAGGTGGCAATCTCCTCATAAAACGAGGACAACCGCTCCTCCTCCTCCTCCTCCACCTCATTGTAGTGGTGCTCGAGGTTGTTGGCGTCGCGGTTCCCATCGGCGAGCACCTTCGAGAGCGGCTCCCGCACGGAGATGGTATTGTAGGAGATTTCTACCTTCTCACCGCCTTCAGCACCGTTTTGAGGTTGCGGTGGTGGTTCAATACCGCTGCCATTGCTGCGAAGCTGTAGCCGGAGAATGTGCGCCGGTTGCGGTTGTTGCGGTTGGGGCTCCAGTTCGTAGGCGTTCACCTCTTCGAGGTGGTGGTGATGATTATTGCTATTGTTGTTGCTGGAGATCATCACCGACTGGCGAAACTGACCGGTGGGCGACGGGTGAGGGTGATATTGCACTGAGGGGGGAGGATCAGGATGAGGAGCCCCTCTGCCGCCGTCCACCGAGTAGTCGTCGGTGTCGTTCTCCGTAGAGGAGTCCACCGTGAGGTGGCCATTTCGAATGCGAGCATACGGGTGATTGGAGTCGTTGGATGCGGCTGCTGTTGCATTTACCGGCGGTGCATTGGCCACCGTGTACAGCGAGTCGACGTCGTCAGTGGAGGTGGAGTTGCTGAAGCAGCAGGAGGGAGGAGGTTGGTGCTGCTGCTGTTGCAGCTGTTGTGCTAAATTCGACTGGTCAGCACCGGGAGCGGGAATGTCGGGCAGAGCTCGGTTCGCTTTCAGCTTGTTGCAGGCGCAGCTTTCGACGACGGTGTCACCATTAACTGCTGATACTGCTTGAGCTTGCTGATTAGCACCACAGTTGCAGTAGCTACTACTGCTGCCCATCCGGTGATGTTGCAGCTGCTGGTGGACACTACAGCCTACTTGAGCATTGGCTTGTTGAGTGTTGCTGTTTGCTGGGGGTGATGAGGAGGAGCCGGGCGAAGAGGAGGAGGCGTTTCCGGCCACTCCCATCACCTTTCCAGCAGGTTGCGTGGTGATGACGGCGAGGTGATCGACATTGGTGGGAGGCACTGGTTCGACGTGGTTCGACGTCGTGGTCGGCAGGTCGTGCGAGAGAATGAAGCTGCGGTGCTTGCCGCCGAAGGCGCTGCGCGACTTCGACTTGGGATTGCAGACACAGGTGACCAGGGCGACGACAAAGGCGACCAGCAGGGCGGCGCCGTAGAGGGCGGACAGGCGCCACCACTCGTCGTCGTCGTCCGCCACCGTTGAGCTAGTTGCACCATCGTTGCTGATAATTAGCATCATCATCATCATGGTGATCCTTCCTCTTCTGGCTAGGTTTCGTTATCAGTAGTATCGTCGTCGGAGCAGCTGCTGGTACTGTTGTTGTTGAGCTTCTGGAGTGCATTATTCAAGGGCTCAGTTTTGCTGCTGGTTTTGAAGTCTTCAAGTCTTTTATGGGGGTGATATACTTGCTGATGCTACAGCTGTCGCTGGTTCACATTTCATGCTGCTGCTGCTGGTGTTGTGATCACATGGTGGTGGTATCGGGAGCTGAGCAGGGGGAGATCAACAAACATAACAACACGGAAGAGCCGCCGATGGATGATCGACACTGACAGATGGTCTTTCTTCAGCTGCTGCTGCAGTAGTTGTAGCTCTCCTCTCAGCAAACAACACAGCAGATACACAAACATCGAGCTTCGGTGGCCAAAAGAGTGGCCAACTGAAACTGGGAGAGAAAGAGCGAGATTTTAATTTGCAGCAGCTATCTCTTCTCAGCAACTCGGCGTCGACATCTGTCGCCGTAAAGGCAAAGGAGGATTACGCCAGACCAGAGCCAACAGTGTGTTGTATCCTTGAGGCCAGAGTGTCGGAATTTCAAAGGGACGAGGACCTAGGACCAAGCTTCTGATGATGTTGAAGGTTCTTTCAAGTACAATTTAGAAATAGAACTTTGAGCCGTGTTCTATATGTCGGATTTGTTAATTCCATATAAGTCATTTCCCCTAAATCCAGTTCAATTGTCCTCGAGTAGTATCGATACTTTCGATTGTTAGAGATCACAGAGAGTGTTTTCGCAGATGTTTCTCGCTAAACACAATTTTTTTTGCGTCGCTTGCTCCTGAAACGACTTCTACTTCTTCTGCTTCTTCTGCTGTGGCTCGTTGTGTAACACACACGTTCACTTCAAGCTCCTTTGCACTTTGAGGCAAAACTGCATCTCATCCATCGTCATCATTACCATCACCACCATCACCACCTCAACACCTCAGTGACCTGGATCTCCTTCCCTTTCCCTCTCCCCAGCAACCTTTTTACCTACTCTTCCTCTCTCTCTTTCCCTCTCCATCTCATCACCACAACAACCGTAGCACGCTCAGCTCTCAGCTGTTTACCTCACCTGCAGCCGAACACCCTCGTGTGCTTCTTCACATTACTCATCACTTTCACACCTAAAGCCAGTCGGCTTCTATTTCTTCTATTTCTTCTTCTACTTCTACTTCGTAATCGCCCGATTTTAGACCTCTGACCGACCTTGCCTGCCTGCCTGCCTGCCTGCCTGCTACCAACAGTGATGGAAGGCAACAGCGATATCATCGACAAGTTGAAGGTACGAAACGTGCGGGGTAGTGGGGTGAAGAGACCCCACCAAGGATATTCTATTTTCTGGTTGGGTTCGGGTTCTGTAACCACCTTTTGTGTTTCCCATACATTAGGCAAGTGTAATCGCCAAGCTGGAGGAACTGGACCCCAGCACCAATCGTGGTAAGTGTGANGTTCTGTTCGGGTTCTGTAACACTTTTTGTGTTTCCCATACATTAGGCAAGTGTCATCGCCAAGCTGGAGGAACTGGACCCCAGCACCAATCGTGGTAAGTGTGATGATCAGCAATCCTTCCATTCTTTATCAAAATTGACTGTGAATCTTCTCCTGTTTAGATGCCACCCTCATCGACTACATAATCGTCNATGATCAGCAATCCTTCCATTCTTTATCAAAATTGACTGTGAATCTTCTCCTGTTTAGATGCCACCCTCATCGACTACATAATCGTCATGATTGTGAACCAGAAGAGCAAGTTCGAAATGAAGCACAATCTTTCCCTCTTTCTAGGGAAGATCGTCGATGAGTTCGTCAACTGGCTCTTTGACTACCTGGCCACCACCAGCGAGCTGAAGGTGAAGACGGCCAGTCCGACGGCGGCGGCGGTGCTCAACGCGACGACATCGACGAGTAGTAGCAGCAGCAGCCGAACCACAACCAAAAACTCTCCTAAGTCAACCAGCAGTCCTAAAGGTAAATGAGGCCGACATTGAAGACTTTGCTTTCCTAGCATCGCTAACTGATCTTTTTATTTTAGAAACTGAAAAATCTAAAAAGAGCGAACCTATCGCCGATTCGAAAGCCAACACTGCCACCATCACCAACGGACACAGCAGCAGTAGCAGCAGTCAAGAGGCGACGAGCAAAGGTGACCCCAGCAAAAAGTCCACCTCTAGGCGGAAACTCAAGTCGGCCGTTTCTGCCTCCTCTACTGATGACAAAGAAACAACGGCTGAAACGGGGGTGGTCACATCTCCTGTCAACACTACCAACAACAACAACAGCAGCAGCAGCACTGCAGATGCTACCACCAACACGACAGCATCATCTCCCACCAGGAAAAATGGAAAAGTGGTGAAGAGACGGCCTGCAGCGGAAGCAGTGTCGTACGCCAGCGGCAGCAGAAAGCGGACACAGTCAAACTCCGCCACGACTGACAACATCAACGACGAAGAAATGGGTGGCGGCGGCAGTGGAGCAAAGAAGAGCAGACAGAAGAAGGGCCCGGCTGCTGTTGATGACGATGAGGAAGACGTGGAAATGCTGGGCCTGGATGCCGATTCGAAGGAGAACAACGAGACGAAGTTTCTCATCACTCTGGACGGCGCCAAGGACATGTTCAAGGACACCCAGGACGGCCTCCTCCTCGACGAGGACTTCGACCCGGAGCTGATGAA